TTATTTGATGATTATTTATTAATTATATATAGTTTTACTACCAGAGATCTTTTTTAATATTCAATAGATCTATAATTTTTAATATTTGTTTTAATAATTTGATTGAAGTTGATGTCGGTCATCGTCTGAAAATACGTTTAAAAATTCACACGTTGGGATTTTGAAATCACGTTGTTTTGTGAAGATCACCACAAGTCTTTGAGAAGTATGACAATAAGATTTTTGATGTATGTATTTTTATATAGTTTTTATATTTATATATATTTTCTTTAAACATGTAACTATTATTTTACCCCTTCATTTAATTCATGGGTGACATTTGGTAACCCTACCAGTACCACACCTACTAATTCCTCTATCAAGGCCACAATTGCTTCCACTTTCCCTTTTATTATAAGTCATAACAAATTAATGTTCAATGCCAAATTATAGGTGAAAGATATTATCAGATGGTAGAGTTGATGTAAGAAACGTAAAATTTTGATCAACATATATTTGTTTCATAAATGATGATGACGACGAACAAATGAAAAGGAAGCAAGAACGAAGAAACAACGATGACAATGTTGTTTTAGAAGGGATGTGGTTGGTAATATTGGCTCCATACATGTTGACTAAGATGAAGGATGGGAACAGTGGCTAAAATTACAAGTTTGTCTTGGAGATGTCTTTTACTAATCTCTCTCTCTCTCTATATATATATATTAAAGGAAAAACCAAAAGTATTGAGGTGACATCATGAGAATTGAGTATTGAAGTGTTGGTGAATTGTGGTTGAGTTTGAGATATCCCACATTGGTGAAGAGTTGAAAATATTGAGGTGTTGGTGAATTGTGGTTGAGTTTGAGATATCCCACATTGGTGAAGAGTTGAAAATTTTGAACAAAATGAAGTGTATAATAAAAGTGGATTAGATGCCTTTGTGTCAAATATGAGGTTTGCCTCATAGGGTTGTCTTTCTTTGGATGACCCTTTTAAAATCTATAACCGTGGTTGGAACCAATCAAAACAAATGGTAGAAATTATAGTGCAAAATTAATTTTATATATATATATATATATATATATATATATATAAATTGGATGTCTTTGTGTAAAATAAGTGCAAATCTATATATATATTAAAGGAAGAACCAAGAGTATTGCGGTGACATCATGAGAATTAAGTATTGAGGTGTTGGTGAATTGTGGTTGAGTTTGAGATATCCTACATTGGTGAAAAGTTGGAAATTTTGAACAAAATGAAGTGTTGGTTTATTTTGGCCAACCCTTTGTTTGCAAAAAAATACCTTCATAAAAAATCTTTATATATATATATATATAGGGCTCTCTCTATAAATAAGTATATTCACAAGAAATGATGTGTCACCCTAAGAATTGAGTATTATATATTTCTTGCATTGAGGTTGAGTTTGTGTATCCCACATTGATAGAGAGATGAATGATCGACAATTGAATGTAGGTATATAAGAGGAGGTTGATGTGTCTTTATTTTGACTCACGGGGTTGTGTTCTCTTGGCTAATCTAATAAACTCATATCACTGGTTCATGTTGGTTAACCCTCTAATTCATGGGGTTTGTTCATTTTGACGAACCCTCTATTTGCAAAAAAGTTGTCTATATAAAAAAATTAATATATCAATAAAAAAGATAACTAGGAAATAATAAGGTGGCATCATTAAAACCAAATATTTTAACATTCTTGCATTGTGGTTGGATTTTGGTATCCACATTCAGAGGCGGAAGGCCTGCTGGGCTATTAGGGGCCATGGCCCCTGAGGTTTTTTTTAGAAATACATTACACGTATGATTCATTTAAGGTTTTTTAATAATAAAAAATTGTTGGGCCCCTCCACTTTCATCCTGATTCTGCTTCCATAGTTCCATTTCAAAGTTCCATGCTTCCATTCCAAGTTTCCAAGTTCCAATTCTACAGACTGTGAGACCGTACGACCGTGCGATTGTACGAACCTGCGAGTGCATGTRCGACTTCGACTTCGACTTCGACCGTTCGACGGAAACTCCTCCGGCTTCGGCAATCGGCGACATTCCTCCAGAATCCAGTCCAGTGCGGCAGTGAGTTCACGACTGTGTGAGTGTGCCGTGTGCGAACTACGACTGACCTTAGTTCCGCCTCTGCCCTCTGCCTGTATCGACTGATTCGACGGTAACTCTATGCTATTATCGACTGACCGTGTGCGAACTACGACTGACCGTGTGCGAACTACGACTGACCGTGTGCGAACTACAAACTCTGTGCTATTATCGACGATTCGACGGTAACTCTTATAGTCTTATTGCTTTGCTTCTTGACTTCTTCTCCCCATTCCCATATGTATAAAATTCTACCGTATGTGCGTATGTCGGTATGTGATATGTCCGTATGTATAATATGTGTATAAATTTGCTTAGTGATTAGGTGATTTAGGTCTAAAATTTGTTTGATATTTTGATTGATTTGGTTTAAAATATTATTACTTGAGTTGAGTTGATCCTTGATTAACAGATTTGATGATATAAATCAAAGCTTTTAGCCTCTTATGTAGCCTTTCTTAGCCTGTTACGGTGTTACCTGTMTGGCTGTATATAAATCCATTATCCATGGCTGTTAAAATATTATGGCTGTAGCCTGTAAGTTACAGTGTACTGTGTACAAAGATGACCCAATAATCCAAGATTGCTACAGCCTACAAAGGTGGAATTGGAAGTTTGGAACAAGTGGTCAAGAGCTCCACTTTACTTCTTCCAGACAAATGAACAATATCTAGCATTAATGTTCATATTAGTGGGACTACCCAACATATAGATGAATTGCTTTTAAAGTTGTTTAGTTTAGGAATTAGGAAGTTCTTTTTTTTGTCAAATTGTTCAAGTACTTAAGTGTTAAATATGTTCCACATGTAGATGAAGAAAACTCAATCTACCATTCATGGGTTTTTTAAAAGAAAGCATGTAGCTAGTTCTTCTTCTCAAGATCCCGAAGAAACAACAAATGTAGATAATACCCCTGCATCTAGTGTTCCGCCTATCGAAAACCCTTGCAAAAAAACTCAAATGCAAAGTAACGATATTCCTGACTTATCTTCTTCCTACGTTAGCAGAGGGAATCGAGCTCGTAATGAGCATAGTGATCATACACTTGAGCATCATTACCGAGTGGATATCTTTTATGAAGCAATTAATTGTCAATTAATGGAATTAGATCATCGTTTCAGTGATGGTTCCATGGAGATGCTTCGTCTTGCTTCAACTCTAGATCCTAAAAATGCGCATGAGACTTTTAGAAGTCTTGATGTACGACAACTAGTAGAGAAGTTTTATCCTGAAGATTTCAGTGATCATGAGAAAACAATTCTGAAAATGCAACTTCAACATTATGCTATTGATGTCGTTCAACATGTAGATTATAAGCAATTGACATCTCTTGCAGAATTGGGTCAATGGTTGGTAAGGACTAGAAGAGAAACCACTTTTGATCTTATTTATCGACTAATAAGTCTGTTACTTACTCTTCCAGTATCTACCGCGACAACCGAGAGATCGTTTTCAGCAATGAATATTGTGAAAACAAGAATACGAAATAAAATGGATGATGAGTTTCTAAATGACTCGTTACTTTTGTTCATMGAAAGGGAAGTAGCTGAAAAGATTAGTTTGGAGGAAATTGTGGAAGACTTCAAGGTCGCGAAAGATAGACGGGTTCCACTTTGATTTGTGATGTTTGACATCTTTATATTTAACGTTTAGTTTTAGAGTTTTACTATGTTATAACTTTGGATAATGTATTTTTGGTACATTTGAAATATATAATATACTAGTTCCGGCCCCTACGGTTAGAAAGTTTGTGTTCCGCCCCTGTCCACATTGATTAGAAATTGATACGTCAATGAGAAAAATGAGTATATAAGATAAATATGAGTTCCCTATGAAAATTAAAAGGTTCATTTGGCTATATAAACCATGTTTATCTTTAAATATTTGGAGCAATTGTCTAAACTCACGTGGTTGGATCATTTTGATTGAACTTCCAAACATATGCAATTGACTCATTTTGGCCAACCCTTTTTTTGTGACAAAATTAATCTATACTAAATATTAATTAATTGAAGAGATAATTTTAATATGTTTTTGAAAGTAAGAAGCAGTTACATGATGCAACACCCTAATAATTGAATATTCTTCAATCTTAAATTGTGATTGACAAAAATGTTGGATATGTAAAATGAGGTTCAGATGCCTTTGTGACAACTCATAAGGTTGGTTCATTTTGGTTGGTTCTCTTAACATTTGTGGTTAGAACATTTTGGCCGACCCTCCGAACACATGGGGTTGGTTTATTTTGGCCAACTCTCTTTTTACATGAAGTGTTAATCAATATTAAAATTTAATTATATATATAATCTTTATTCTTTCTATATTTAAAAGTAAGAACCACAACCATCAATGTGACACCCTAAAATTGAGTATGATTTAATCTTGAATTATGATTAGTTTTGTCTATCAATATTATAAAGCAAGATTGAGATGTCTCTGTGGCAATTCATAGGGCTGACTTTCCTTGAATGATTCTCTAAACTCATGGTGCTTAACTTATTTGGTTGATTCTCCTAACATATGATTTTTGGCTAACCCTCTTTTAAAAAAAAAATCTATATTAAAAGTTAAATTAATTAATTAATTAAATTAATTAATAATTCATCAATGCTTTATTGTTTCTTTTTCCGTTTTGCATTGAATTGGAGTGAATTCTCATCACCAAAAGTGGTGATAATTCCAAAGCAATTCAGCCTTCTGTATCCACAATTTTGAAACAAACAATCCGATCTTCCAAATCAGTTGGTGAAAGTGAATGAGTAAAATTCAACGATTTTCAATATCAAATCGTTAAATTAAGCAAGAGAAAACAGATTTCCATTATCAAAATCAATGAAACATTTCTGCAAATCTAAATCTAAAACTAAAAGAAATGAATAATTCATATGAAAATGGAGACAATTAAGTTAAGAAGAAGTTATCGGACCTGGAGACGGAACTGGACTCGGTGGACTAAATGCAAGTGGAGGATCCGTCGTAGCTACAGCAGGAGGAGTGACTATAGACACTGGAAGAGGAGGCGGCAGCGGCGGCGATGATGATGGATCAGTAGGCGACGCAGATGGTGGTGGTGGTGGTGCGTCGGAATTGAAGGTAGGATCGGATGGATTAGATGCATTAGGAACGGTGACAGAGGGGAAAGGAAACTGTAACGGTGGCGGAGGAGAGTAATCAGGAAGCGAGCAATATTCTCCGGTGCATTTATGAGATTTTGGATGAATGTTGCGGCCGAAGAGGCCGAATCCGACGACGAGACCAGTAACAACAATGGCGGCGACGATAAAGATGAAGATCTTCGTTGCTTTACCAATGTAACACATTATTGTTCCTCTCTCTCTAAGAAATTTGCAGAAGCTCGGAAGAAATGAAAATGGCGGATTTCGTTATGTTAGAAGACGTAAGAGTGGTTGTACTAATTTCCAGGGTTGAAATTAAGAGGTTCAATAGGATGCACTTCTTGTAATGCGTAAAGTACAACATGTGAAAGCGTACTGTTTTGGATTTAGAAATTGTTATGGAAAAATAAGGATTGGAGCAAAAGGTGGTGACCTGGCAGCGTTGGCACGTGAAGCCAAATTAGGTTTTTCTCGGTCGCTATTCGCTACTCCCTCCCGTGACCATCAAATTTTAAAGGGGTGTTTGGATGGATTATGAATATGGTTTGATTTTGATTTTTGATTTGATTAATTATAATTAAGAAAACAAATTTGTGAAAATTATATATAATTTTTAGATTAAATTATAACGATACTTGTGTAATGCAACGATATACATCTTGAAATTTTTAGAGTAAATTATAACGGTACTTGTGTAATGCAGCGATATACATCTTGATCTTAAATTTTCATTTTATTTTTTTATCTCAATCAATGTTATAATAAGGTCTTATGTGATTTTGAAAAAACGATGATATTTTTATTTTTGAATAAAATCTAAATTTGAATATATCATAAAAATTTGACAAAATTATATCGATATTAGTATCAAATTAACTATTTAGAATTCTTCATCTTTTGTATAATTTTTTAATTCAATTTTTATTATAATTTAATTTAAGTTCAATAATGAAGTAATTTATATTTGGTTTAATAATATAATTTTCTTATAAAGATAATAGTTAATTATTTTGTTAGAACTCGATATTATTTTAATTATATTTTAGATATTTTAGATTTTAAAATGGGATTTTTATCATTTATTTGATTATATTTATCTGCAGTTAGTTACACGAATTCAAACATAGAGCTTTAATAAGTTGTAATTATACATAATTTACTTGTAATTTTTAACTTTAAGTAATATGCATCAATATACAGTACTTAATGCATAAAAAATTATTTTTAAAAGTTTTTGTCAAATACTTTATAATATAATATAAATTACAAACTTTTTAATTGTGGTATTTGGATTTTTATGAAAATGGTTTCTAGACTTCATTTATTACTTAGAAGGTATGATGGTATGCATTTTTTTCAAGGATTTGGCTCTTCACCCTAATAGCCGTCTACCAAATCCGTTAAACTGAATTGCAAATATCATAAAACACAAATCATATTCGTCTAACAATGATATTTAATCAAGTGGAACCGTCTTGTTACAACTACTATCTTCTCCATTTTTCTCCAAATGAAAGGATAACTTTGAACAACCTACGGAAAATATTGTTGAGAAAGATGGAGAATGTAGTAGTTGTGACAAAGTGGTTCCACTTGATTAAATATCATTGTTAGATGAATGTGAATATGATGAGTTTTTTTTTCTAAAAGATGTTCCACTTGTTTAGTTTTTGACATTACAAAGTAAGTTATGAAATTTACGATGAACTCAATGAACAAATGGTTTTTTATAAATATTTTTATTCGTGAAATAGTGATCTTTTGTGAACACGTTTAATTTCTGATATTATAATTTTTAGTAAACATATTTGATTAAATTTACAATTTTTAAATGATAAAAATAAAATGTTGTAATAGAAATTGGTGATGTTATAATGAAGTAAATTTGAAAGTACAATGTTATAATAAAAAATGTCTTGTTAGTGCTATCGTAAATATGGACAGTCTAAGTGGACGATGAGGTGGCAAAGAAAAACCTGATATAATGGATAAATTAAATTCAAAATATTACTCAATGCTATAATAAGTAAATTTTTGAAAGTACGATGACCTAATAAAAAATATTTTGAAAGTATATGTTGTAATAAGAAAAACTGAAAGTCAATTTACTGTAATAAGAAAATTTACAAAAGCAAGTTACTATTTCATGCATTTTGTCCAACTAAAAATTAAGGACCTACAATATAAATAGCTTATTTTAGAAGTAAAATCCAAAATTTAAGCCAACCATAAACCAATCGTTTTATTCACTGTATGGAAAAAGATTTAGAAACCTTAAACAAAAAATCGAATAAATTATTCAAATCGTGGGGATGTTTGGGATTACTTATTTAAAACAACTTATGCTTTTCTACAAAAACACTTATCAACTTATTATAAGTCAGAAGAGTTTAATTTTTTTAAAAACTTTTTATTACCGGTTTGACATCAATATAAGTTGTTTATTCAAACACTAAAAAATGTTTATTACCGATGCCACATCGTAATAAGTTGTTTTATTTTTTTATAAACAATCTCAAACACTTTTGAGATGAACCGATTAATATAATAAATAAAAAATTAATGAATATAACGAAAATTAACGACAAAGTTTATTAGGAAAAGTAGAACCGTTGGAGTGCATATTTTGTTGAGAAAAACTGATGATGGTGGTACCGCTCCCCTTTTCCTGCTTCTCTTCTAATTCTTCTTCCTAAATCCAATCAAACTTTTCAAGCCATCGAGAATTTCCCCCTCAACCCCCAATTTCTTTCATCATTAAACTTTCATAATCCCACCTTTTTCCCAGCATTTGAACTCTATCGGATCAACTGTCCATCGAGTTCTTCATTCAACTCAACTAATTCCCGATACCGATTCCTTTTGTTCTGCATTTGGGGGTCAGAAATGGGCTAGAAATTCCATCTCTTTTTGTCTGAAATTAGGTTTGAATCTTTTCGAATCGTTTTGAAGGCAAAAAGATTTGTGGGTTTTCTTCGAATCTCGTTCTGATTCCCAATTCGCAGAGAAATCTTGTGGAATTCATTCGAAAAAAGAAATTGTGGGTTCTGTTTGTAGATTTCTGTCTGAAACAAGAATCACAACAAAAAGAATTGGGTATTTCGTGAGATTTTGGATCATTTAATTGCAAAAGGGATTCTGGGGTTTGATCGAGTTCATAGGTTAAAAACACAAACAGAGAAATAAGATCACATTTTTGTTGGGAATTTAGTGAGGTTTTGAAATCTTTATATTTTACATAAACAAAAGGGATTTGAGGGTGTTTGGGGAAGAAATTAGAGGCTTGATTCAATGTTCCATTTGGTGTAGTTTTATGACCAAACCATCGATTCAAATGAAAAGGGCTGTGTTGTGGAACGCAACAGTTTACTGTGCCAAACGCCTTGGTTTTGTAGGTGTTTTTGTAGCTCTTTTGTGTGTGTTCTTGGTGGATCCTTTGGAAGGAAATCCATGGGTCCCTAAAGAAACTTCATATGGCAATGGAGGCTATTGGAGGTCTCAATTTATCGATGAAAATACAGTATGATTCCCCATTCATCCTCTCATTTAGATCCATTACTGTGTTCGTTGACGATAACGATTAAATGTTGTATGGTTATCGCGATTTATTTGGTTATTCGTTGTGTTATCGTTTGCGTTCAAATGTGATCTGAAGTCATTCTGTTTGATCAAGTAGATTGATTCCAAATTAAGCTTAGATTGCACTCAAAACATTTGATAATTTGAATGACCGAATGAGAATCTGCATATGTTCAAGTATTTGCATTCATGGGATTGTCGTATTATCGAACATTATATGGTAAAAAGCCGAGGTTCGGACTTGTTCCAAGCGTCACATTTTTGTTGCGTGAGCCCCGTTAATGTGAGCGAAGGAGAATAGAACTGTGACCTGCAAAAACGGAGGATGCAAAATAGAGGAAATGTGTATTAGTCATAAACCAAACCGAGGAGAATGAGCTTCAGACATAATTTCTTTTAAATTCATGACCTTTGAACAGGTTTTGAGGCCTTCTTGTGTTAGGCAGAGGCGTTTCTAAATATGACAAAAAGTTGTATATTTAAAATAAATTAAATAAATCTGTCATAAAACTAGTCTCCTAAATAACCCCTCGGAGGTGGGGTCTAGGGGTGTGTAGACCTGATCTTTACTCCTGATCGTAGAGCGACTTGGAAATCTGTATTAATCATTGACGTCTTATTATTAGTTTTCAATGTGGATCATATTTTCTACCTTTTGGATGGAAATCTGTATTAATCATTGACGTCTTATTATTAGTTTTCAATGTGGATCATATTTTCTACCTTTTGGGATGGAAGAAGGTCTGTGTACATCATACCCCTGGGCGAAGAAGGTCTGTGTACATCATACCCCTGGGCGATCCTAGTTGGCTAGTACCCTGTCTCTATATGGGATATACTGGGTTTGTTTGGTTTGGTTTGGTGTGGATCATATTTGGTGGGTCTAACGAAATGTTTCGTATGCAGCCAACACTATGCTATCGGAAAGAGTTTGAAGAAAATACGATATCCAATGATTGTGACAAAGAAGGGTGGCTAGAAAGTCTTTCCAAGTCATACCGTTCTGATGATCACCGTGGAACGTTTCTCAGGAAACTTCATGATCGTCTACTAAGGAGGCCATGCCCACATCCAATGTCAACAAGCCACTCTCAGGGTAACCTTGAAAACTCACCGTTTATGGTCAAGCATCAACCTATTCGGGCCCTACTTATGTCACCTAAGGATTTGGCGAATCCTTATCCTAGGCCGCATCGTAAGCTTGCGGAGACATCCGGTGCCGGTGGTTCGTTACTTATAATCGTGGTATTGGCAACGGTGGTGACAACATTGGGCATTTTCGCAATGTTCTTGTTTTGTTGTGTTGGACGTGATGCCTTTAAACCGGCAAATGGTCACGAGGCTTCGAAAAATGGTCACGAGGCTTCGGCAAATGGTCAAGAGGACAATAAACCTCTTGTCAACTTACGCCCGAAGGGAAAGAAAGGAAAATTAGGTCATTCATTTGTCTTATTTAATGTTATCATCGTACATCTCGATTTTGGTTTGTTGGTTGCATCATGTAAGTAGGGGTCTTCATGAAAACAACTGCTCTATTCTTTGGGGTAGATATATAGGTTTGCATACATCCCATCCACTCGATGGGTCATTTGGTTAAATGACCTTTTGTTAGATTTTTTTAAATTCATGACGTAGGCAAAAATGTCTAAAAATTTGTCACACAATCATGGATTTAAAAAAATACTTGTTAGAAGGTCATTTAGCTGAATCCAACCCCCTCGAGGGCCCCACCTACAGATTGATATACTGAGCTTGTTTGGTTTGGATTGGTTTCTAGTTTGTTGTCGTTTCAAAGTAGTTGTCTGTTCCTTTTTCAGCTTCTTTGCGAAAATCATTGAGAGGACTATCGATTCGTGCTTCCAACGCCAACAAGAGTCCTTCAAAAGCCGCACCTTTACCGCTCCAGTCAAAGAAAGTCACTCCTCGATCACCACCACCACAACCATCACCACCACCACCACCACCACCACCACAGGAATCACCGCCGCCACCAACCCCAACGCCGCCACCCACCCCACCGCCAACTAGTCCACGAGCAACCTCATCACCACCAGCTCCAGCAGCTCCACCACCACCACCACCACCTATACCCTCTGCTCCGAAACTGCCACCACCACCACCACCGAAGCCTGGTCTCCCACCTCCACCAAACCCAAGTAATATGAAAAAACCACCTGCACCCGGTAATCAAAAAGATACCACCGTTAAGGAGGAAAACAAACAAGCTGGAGAATCCGATGGCACCCAAACGAAGTTAAAGCCTCTCTTTTGGGACAAGGTGAACGCTGTTCAGAACCGTTCAATGGTTTGGCACCATCTTAAAGATGGATCATTCAAGTAACGATCTAAATTCATACATTTCTTTTGTTGTACTCTTGAAATTTAAGAGTTTTACTTGAATACTTTATAAGATAGTATATAATATAGACGAAAGATCGTGTGAGAATATGAGTTAAGATGAAAAGTGTAAGAAGGGATTTGGACCCTTGATCATTTTTAATTCCAAAACATCCCATGAAGGGAGACGATCTAGTTTATCTCATTAGTGTTGATCCGGTGGTTCTCTTTGATTAAGATTGATCCAAGGGTAGAGATGTTCTTACCCTTTTCACTATAACTTTCATTCTCACCGCAACCGAACCCTATATATATATGTATATGTATGACACGCTTTGAAAACGAACAGGGTTGATGAGGAGATGATGGTCGGTCTTTTTGGTTATGTGGCTGCTCAAAACAAGAAAGAGCGTGGGAAGATCGATTCAAACTTACAAGCTCAACCCAAGTTGATTCAGATCCTCGACGCAAAGAAAGCTCAGAATCTGGCGATTCTTCTAAAAGCATTGAATGTGACAACCGAAGAAGTATGTGATGCGGTTAAGAAAGGTGATTTGCTCTATCACAAAAACGCTCGTTGCTTTTGTGTTGTTCAGACTGTTTATTTATCGTCCTACGAATGTGTGATCAGGCACCCAACTTCCGGTCGAGCTTATTTCAACTTTGTTGAAAATGGCACCGAGTCAAGAAGAAGAACTAAGACTTCGGTTATATTGTGGAGACGTTAACCAACTTGGCCCTTCAGAACGTTTCCTAAAGAACTTGGTTGAGATCCCGTTTGCATTCAAACGTCTTGAGGTTTTGTTGTTTATGAGTTCCCTTCATGAAGATTACAATATGGCTAAAGAGTCGTTTGCGACTTTGGAGGTACTACATTTCGTTCATGTAGCTTTTAGATCGTTTATTTAAAAGGTCCATTAAGTATACTGTCCGGACGTTCATGGATGGCGGGCCGTCCTAAAATCTGGGGGTAATTTAGTAATTTCACAGCAATCGAACGAACTTTTTAAGCCTCGAATGCAATTGTTTTGATCATTTTGCAACCAAATAACAGGTAGCTTGCAACAAGCTTAGAAGCAGCAGACTCTTCTTGAGGCTTCTAGAAGCGGTTCTCAAGACGGGAAATCGAATGAATGATGGTACATACCGTGGTGGGGCTCAAGCGTTCAAGCTCGACACGCTTTTGAAACTCTCGGATGTCAAAGGGACGGATGGAAAAACGACGCTCTTATCATTTGTGGTTCGAGAAATTATCCGGTATGAAGGAATCAAAGTGGCTCGGAACCGAAATCCTTCGACCGATAAAACCGAGGACCCGAATGAGGAAACACCGGAATCTCTCGAATCACTCGGCTTAGAGGTTGTTTCCAAGTTGAGCGAGGAGCTTAATGACGTGAAAAAAGCGGCACTTGTCGACGGCGAGAATCTAACGGCCACGGTTTCTAAATTGGGAAATATGTTGAAGAAAACGAAAGAATTTATGAACGAAGATATGAAAACCGCGGAAGCAGCTACTGAATTCAAGGATGCCATCACAAGGTTTCTCGAGTATGCGGAAGCTGATATCACATGGATGATCGAAGAAGATAAACGGATAATGTCGTTGGTGAAGAGCACTGGCGATTATTTCCACGGGAAATCGGGAAAAGACGAGGGGCTACGGTTGTTTGCGATAGTTCGGGATTTCTTGAAATTGTTGGATAATACATGTAACGAAGTGCGGAAAAAGTTGGCGATACAAATGAGACATAATCAAAAGGAGGCTGAGCAGTCATCAGCACGAAACGGGTCAGAGGAAAAAGGCCGAAAACGGGCTTGGCAAAACACGCGTTATAAGATATTGATCATGAGAGACGCGATGAGAGTGATACTCGAATCGATTTACAATGATGACGCCGACCATGAGACATCTCGAATGTCGTCGCTTTCGAAAGAAATCCGTCACCGGTCATTAACGAACGGAAAGGATGGTGAAACGAGGTACGATCCAGAGGAGGAAGGACGAGCGCCAACGCCGCCACCATTGCCGCCGCCGCCTGAAGAAGGCCGAAAAAGGTTTCTGTTGCCAAACATTCGTGACAAACTAGCGCTGCTGACCCTCAACAACCAGCGAACGGATGATTCAGATGGAGATTCAGATGAATGGAGCTCGGATGGCGAGGAGAACGAGGCACAACGCTCACGGACACCATCTGATCGTGATGAAGCAGGTGAAGGGGTTTGGCCAAACAAGCAAGCCGATGATCCGGATTCGTATTTAAATGGGTGGAATTCAGAGGATGGAGAAATGAAGCGAGATGAAACGGAAACAAGCCAAACGAGGTTGTCGTTGTCATCTGAGGCTAACGATGACGATCAACTACTGCCGGCGACCATGGAAGACGATTCAAATGGCGGTGGTTGGAATTCAGAGGATGATTTGAGACGAAATGATGCATAATAAGTCATGATCAACGTTGTACCAAAGTTATTGGAAATCAGCCATTTTTTAATGATTGATTATATGAATTAGACTAGTTTTCGTCAAACATTAATCCTTCTTAAAATCTTCAAACATACAAAACCATATTATATGAAATGTATATATATGTTTTTCTCCATATTTTTCATACATATATTATGTACCCAACTATATAGAATTATTTTTATTTTTATTAACTTGAGATATATATGTAGTTTCCAAATTCTTTTAAATTTCATTTTTAAATGTTTACAAAATTTGTGAAATAAGAATATTATATGGGTTGGGTTGGACATATTCAAGACATTTGAACAACTTAATTTAAGAAAAATTACAATCCATCCCAAAACAAATCGTGCAAGTTTGGTGGGTTGAAACTTTGGTACATTATTTTACAATCTAGTCAGACGTTTATGTTTAAATAAAGTAAGATCAAAATGAAAACATACAGAAAAGACTAACAAACTAAAAAGAAGTTGAATGTTCGTGAAAATAAGAAAGTAAAAATTACGATTGAATTTGTAATATAATTTCAAATATAGATAAGTACGGCTGAATCAAATGTTTAATGTACATATATTATTGAATGACTAAACAATCATATTAAATTCATAGTATAGAAAGACTATACCGTGTTCATCGAGTTAAGTTGGGTTCAAATTATCCTAACCCAATTCTAATTCAATAGCTTCGGTTTAACTCAATTTTATATCAACTATGTATCGAATTAATTTTGACTTGAGTTTTTTTTAGATTTACAAGTTGGGTCGATTTTTGACAACTTATTAATGCTTTAAAATTTTATATTTTAAAAAACAATTCTTTAAAAAGTAAAATTAATTGTTTTAGAATATGAATTGGTTTATTTATGTTTCTAATTGAAGCTATTTCTGTTTGTGTGTTGGGAGCCCAAGAGCCCGCATTAAAACCCTAATCTTTACCTGTTCATAATCCAAACCAAATCTCTGCTTCGGATTTAAACCCTCCTTCATGTCTTTCTTTTCCTTCATATTTTAATCAATTCGTAAATGGCTTCCAAGCGTTCTACTCCTCTTGATGATCCTCCATCTGCTTCGTCTGATGATGATGAAACGGAGGACGAACAAGAAATTTTGACACACAAAACAAACGAAGAATCATCAACTGAAGAAGAAGAAGAAGAAGAGGAAGAGGAAGAGGAATCTGAAGAAGAACCCCAAATCCAAAATCCCCTTGAAAACCCTAAAATCAAAAACCCTAATTCAAAAGTAGTTGAATCATCATCCGAAGAAGAAACACCTACTCATGTGGAAACTTCTGTCGAAAACCCGAAAACCCTAACTCCCAAATCGTCTTCGGTCTTCGACTTCGACGCGGATCCTGATTTCAAATCGCCTACTGCTTCAGATTTCGCTATCAAACCTTCCAAAAAAATTAATGTTCATGAAACCCCTGAAAAGACACCCGCATCAAAGCGCCTTTTTTCTGAATCAGATCTCAAGGAGAAAAAGAAAATCAAGGTCTCGAATGGGGATGTTGATGATGAAAAGAAGTCTGTCATGAAAAGGGTTTGGAGCGATGATGATGAGCTTTTATTGTTGCAAGGATTTATCGATTATCAATTGAAAAAAGGGTGTTCTCCCTTATCGGATATGGATGGTTTTTATCAGTTTACGATGGATTCTCTTCCAGGGAATGCTTCAAAGAGCCAATTGTATGAGAAAATTAGGAGATTGAAAAAGAAGTTCAGAGTTAACTCTGAGAAAGTGAGTAGTAATGGTGAAGATCATGTGTTCCCTAAGCCGCATGAACGTAAGCTATTCGAGATTTCAAAGAAGATATGGGGAATTGATGGGTGTGAGAGCGTTGGTGGATCGAATGCGAATGTGAAATCTAAAACTAAAACCAAGCCCAAAATTGAAGTGAAAGAGGAGGAGGATGAAGATGATGGAAGGGAAGCTAAAATTCAAGATTTTGAGACTTTGTATCCATATTTGAATGCTGGATTGAACTTGCAAGTTTCATCATCTTTGAATTTTCCGACGGGTGTTGTCCATTTGATCAAGGAAAATTTGAGTTTGATTGGGGAAGCTAAAGCAAAAGAACTGGATGAGAAATGGGAGGCTCTTTTTGACAATGAGATCATGCTACGAAAGAGGAGAATTGCATTGCTCAGTAACGTAGCCGATTTGGGGACATCACTAGGTAAATGAATTACCTTTGACTCATACAACTATGAAACTTGTGCTTTAGCTGTTTATCTTAGTACTCTGCTTTTTCCTTTTTGTAATTTTATCATGTTCAATTTATGATACCATCTATGGTTTGTTCATTACCCATGGCATTATCTTTGACTACAAATCAATCATTTGAGCCTAAACTTACTCTGGAAGCTACGAGAATGACTGGAACTCGTGCTTTTATGATTTACCTCATTGCGCTTCATATCTTTATGTATTTTATCAGGTTAAAGATGTTTAATTTATGATATTATCTATGGTTTGTTCATCACCCATGACATAATCTTTAACTACAATCGATAGTTTGAGCCTAAAATTACTTTGGAAGCTACATGAATGATGGGAGCTTTATTGGTAATTTGCCCTTCATCTTTAAACCAAAATTAGCTATCATGCTCAGTGAGCTGTTTAAATTGCTACTCAGGGTACACGTTGTCCACCCTGTATGAGATTTGTGTTAATCAATCTTTTGTATGTTGTGGGACGGAAGAGCATGAATATGCTTAAAGATGCTATGCTATCTGTCGTTCTGTTAAATAGTCGTTAACTAGGTAAACTCGTGCATCTTTGCTCACATGTGATTTATTGATCCTTTTTTCTTCCGGGGCCAAAGAACAGGGTGATGTTATTGTTGAAGATGTTAAATTTATGCATAATTCACTCTCTTATATCGATGAATCCGTACTCTGATGCATAGCTTCCTTGCCCTGTATAACATGTGTTTCTTGATTGATCTATTTGATGCCAAACATGATGTTGATATCATCTGTTGTTTGTTGAGCACCCATAACATACATCATCAGAAACTGTAATCGGTCATTTGTTTTGGGCACTGTACCATGATGGGTTTATCAATCTTTGTTTTTGCTGTTATTTTGGAACACCATCATACCTTTTTTATAATCTTGACGATCATTGTACCAAATTCCTGTCGTGAGATTGGTTTAATTTAAGCAAAAATGGCTCTATCATGTAATCACGTTTCATCTTAATGGGTTTTTACTTGAACATATCCTTCCATAGCCATACAGTTATGGCTATCGGAGGACATGCTAAGAGAATGTCAGATTACTTCAGCAGTAATAAGACGACATTTCGAAAATAATAAGAATACATCTCGTCTTATTCCATATCATCGTCAACTGATTGCTTCCTCGCTATGGCCGTTCAGTACTTATCGAGTATGTATGGAGCGGAGCATATATAGGGTCTTGTTGAGGATATAAACTCACATTTCCGTTTAGTTTTTCTACCACTTCACCATATCTTCTTTCACCTGAAAATAAAATATTTATTCAGTTCTTGGTGAAATTTGTGAAGATTAATTAAATCTGGAATCGCTTTTTTGGCCTAAATGATACAAGTGCACACAATAAAGGCTCCATGCATATGCATTCATTCGTTCAACTAATTTTTGGAAGCCGTATTTTTTTAGATACGAAAGGTGCAACCATTAAACTTATAAAAGTGACTCGGGCATGTTAAAAACTGAAATAGTCTTGAAATCAACTAAAAAGTCTAAATTCACCCAAAAAATTAATAATCCCTTGTCTTGTGTTGGGTTTTAGTTTGTGAAAATAACCGGATAAAATGCAGCGGAAAACAAGAACCCGGTTACAAAAACGTTCAGAATTTTTTTTCTAAATAATTCCCAAAGCCGGATCCATTGACAATTAAAACGAATATACACAAACCATAGGGTGTTTAAAATATTTATCCTATGGTTGAAATTGAAACTTTGATGTTGCACTAAGAAACCAAATCAGGTTTCCTCTATCGGTTGTCCACACACGAACACGTTTAGAACTTCTACCGGGTGCTATCCCAAATAATCCTAATTCTATAATTGTATCGTAAGGGTTTTGAGGCTACAACTAGTTATCAGAACTCAATCCCCTTGCTTTGGTTTAGCCCCTAAGCCTTATTTATATGATCAGTCTTCGAGATTGATCATAACTCTTAATAAGGCTTAATCATTATCTAAAATGATTATTTATTTATCTAACAATATCTTATATAATTATCAAAAAGTATTTAAGATAATTATATACATATTTATAGATTAAACCTTGTAATTATAATAATCACAAAACGGTACACATGTTTAGATTCTTTTTCTTTAGTCGAAGCATACGTGTTCTTTGTGTGCAACCCTTTAGGTTTACATGGCTCGTTGACAGTGTATTTGGATGACACGTGTCATGGGTATAACATACAACTTACACCTTGAAATCAACCAAAAAAGTTTAAAAATCTCTTGAAATGATAGAATTTGCAAAAACACATCGGTGTGACTTTGCGGGTCTTTGATCTACTTTAAGGGTGCGTTTGGTTTGCAAATTGGATGGGGACGCAGAAAAAAATTACTTCCATGTTTGGCTTGACATGGAACAAGGACAAGGTGGGACTAACAAATTGGAAAATCAAACAATCTAAATGACTCTTAGCTTTTAATGAATCAGACATAAGAGGCTGATAAGAGTTTTTTTTTTTAACAACCGATGCCTAATTATCATTTTCATGGGACAAATCCAGCCCTTCTTTTTCCTCCCAAAAAGGTAGAACAAACCTTGGACTAATCTTAAAATGGCTTATTAACCTTTAACATATAATACAAAATCCGAAACCTAACACCTCAAAACTCAAATAGATCCAAACATCTAAGTCTGCCAAATCAAACTCCTCCAAAACAAATTCTCAGATTGAACCCTCCCCTCCTCTCAAATCGAACCAGCTCTCCTTCCAAATCTGTGTTTGATGATCAATGTGTTCGAAAATGGTTTAGTTTAAGAAAGAAAGAAAGAACCTGAAAGATGAGTAGGATGATGCTTTTGTTGCCGATCATGTCTAAGGGGTCATTTACCTGAACATTTATCCGGTAATCGTTTACGGGTAAACTTCAACACTATAGCTACTCAATGGGTAAGATTTTAGTCCACCAAAGCGAAATTGTATGTAACAAATAACAATTTACACGGTAAGTGTTACCGTGGTAAGAGTCGTCGCCATCACCTACTGGGTAAGACTCTTGGTACTTGTCTTCTTACCTGGTAAAAAATTTGGTTCTTATCATATTCATCTGCTAAACAAATGATAAGAAATAACAAAAATGGAAGAGCGGTGGTGATCACTGGTTACGCGGCGGTGGTGACTGGTTACGCGGCGGTGGTTGAAGGCTTCTTTTCTTTTTTCAACGCCGCACATGGGGATTGGGGAAGAAGAAGTTGAGTGGTGGGGGATCTCCTATTTATTGGCTTTTTGCATGTGTATTTTTAAATAATTTTACATAAATAAATTACAAAGTATGATTTATGTAACTTATTTTAACGTTTATAAATAAAATCATTTATATTTAATTGATTTGTATCATTTGTAAGTATTATATGATAATATGTCAAACAACATTTTTAGGACGATTTAGTTATTTTAAAAGTTTTGTCTCATCATGTTATAGTCGTACTAGACGTAGGATAGACAATTAGTCTTGTCAAATCAAGTCTCATCCAATCATGTCCTGCCCGGCCTGCGTACCAAATGCTACTTAAAGGTGATCCTGTTTGGCAAAAATCTGAAGCCTTCCACAACTATATGGTAGTATCCTTCAAGCACGTATTTCTACTACGATTAATGATGGCCAAAAACCGGTCTTGGGCCGGGCCTAGTTGGTCCCAAGCTTTCTCATAATCAGCCATAACCGGGTTGACAATGTTAGGACCGGTCAAGGTATTTCATAACTAGCTATGGGCCGCCGGTCCCGGCATTAAAAAATAAGATTTTTTTTTTAATTTTTTTAAGATATATATTTTTAATACATTATAAAATTTACAATTGGATCACTCAAATACACTTTAAAAATGTGTTTTAATATAATTAAAATTACATTTTCTTATAAAAAGAAATTATAAAATTATTTAAAAATACATTTATTTATAAAATTATTTGAATTTTCGGGCCGGGCCGGGCCGCTCCTACGAAAATACCAAAAACCCCAATCGGTCCCATAACTGGTCCCGGATCAGGCCGATTTGGCCATCACTAACTACGATGAAGCTAAGAGTGATGACACGGACCACCATATGCCTCCATGTAGGCCTACCCATTTTTTTGTAAAATATAATAGTTATATAGGGCAAAAAAGCTTACACGTACTGAAAACGTTCGGATCGAAATATTGCTTTCAAATTAAGCTTCGAATTAGCACATTCTTTGCTATTACTATGGGGTCCTGAAGCACAAGGAGATTTTACTCGTTGGTGTCAATTAGGCAATCTGTGGACTTTTCCAATAAAAATGTTGGCCTACTTCCATACTAGAAGTATCGTATAACTTCCTCACTTTTGGTGAGATTAGAACCTTTAACCTCTAGAAATATTGGATTAAATGATACCAACACTCTAAATGAATGTTTGAAGAGTGCTTGAATGTGAGGGAATCCTTATCAATCAGTTTTGATATGGGTAAAGGGAGAAAATCTGAAAGATGGATGATGAAAGGTAAAATAAGGTGTTAATCTGTCATTTAAAATAAATAGCAAATATAAAACAAAGTCATCAGAGGTTAAAAAAAGAAGCAGCAAAATGATCAAAAAGCTCGGGAGGAAGTCATGTGCACAATTAAAGATGGGCAAATGTGACCGATTTTTACCAAGCGGTCGAGGTTAACTAAAACGAGCCTCTTTATTTCATCTTTAAGAAAGGAGCAGTTTATTAGAGATGAATTGAAGCATTCATTAAACAACGGATTACCATATTGTATTTCCGATCTGTTTCTCAAGTCCTGTGATTCAGTTCGTAGACAATATCGATATGGATATCATGAAACAATGAAATGGTAATTTTGATTTGATTTACGGGATCCCTTTTCTACCAACTACACAAAAGTCTAAGGTAATGATTAGCCAACGCTAAACAATGCCAAAACTGCTACTTCCTGCAACCTTTCTTTTACAGCAAAATTCCCAATCTGGGATGGGCAGGCAGGACCAAAAAACTACACCTAATCTGATCTGGTGCTTATAGCCTACTACTCACTTACCTATACCGTCGCCATTCTGCCGGCGCCGGTCATTTGATGAAGACGACCAAAACGGATCACTCGTGTCGGTAACTGGAGAGGAAGAGGAAAACTAGAGATTAGATTAATCAAAAGTAAAAATGA